GCCCATGTCCTGAAGGGATACGACACAGATTCAAATAAATTTCTATAAACTGCTCATTGTTAAAGTTGACAATAAGAAATTTTACCTATTAAGAAAAGTGGAATTAAAACAAAAAATGTTTCAGAAAGGTCCAAAGAATAACCCCTTTAAAATAATTCCAGTGTATGATTAAACATTTCCTTGAATTCATTAGTTTTTCATGCATTTGTCTTATATCATGCTACTCATGTTTTTTTAACCCCCCCTCCCCAAGGATCATATCTATAAAAAGCAAATTCAAGTAGAAGGAATTTTGAGCTAGTTCTACCTAAAAAACATTTCAAGAATTACATTTTTTTTTTTTTATTTTTTTTTTATAGAAATAAAAATGTCAACATACAATTGTTCTTATAGAGTAAGTAACAGTAACATTTCAGTTAGTGTCTAGACTACCACACAAATCTTACATTTGGGCACAAGTCTGGGTAGAGGTTGAATTCTTATAGAGGAATGGTGAGTAACAGCCAAAATTATAGTGTGCAAATGAAGTGTGGTTAGGTGCCAATATAAACATCAATATATAGATCAAAAGAGAATGGCAAAAATGAATATTAGATTACAGTTTTGATCAAGAAACAAACATCCATCTAAAAACATTCTTGGCCTAGCAACAAGCGTCAATACTAGTAATTTGAACTTTAATCTTTAAATTTTTCTTTGCATTTAGTTCACTGCATAATGCATGGATGAAAGCACTTGTTCTAAAAACTTTAAATGCAAGAAATTATTTTATAAGCTTCAGTTTCAATTTGCTTTTAATTCATCTGATATGTATTGATAAGATGAGATGCGGTCAATAGGTCAAATGTTATGACTAATTTACAATAAATGAAAAAAAACTAGAATATTGGTCAAAAAACAAAAGAAATATTTATCTGCTTCTTAAAACCTTAATATAACCATTAATCCAAAAAGGAAGAAAGAAAATAAAATTATTTTATGATTACATTGTTTCAGGAAATTTGCATCTACTAAGATGCAAATTTCCTGAAACAATGTAATCATAAAATAATTGTATTTCTTTATGTATTTTCTTTATGATGTAGTAGAGTGGTTTGGTTTTTATACTTTCTAACATTTCCACATCAAAATTAAACAATATTAAGAAAATCAATTCAAGCCATTTTTCTAATCATTAATGTATACATTAAAAATTATGGGAATTTTTGGAAAGTTTTGTAAAGTTATTTCTTATAAAATGTTTTGAATATTACATTAATTTCAATTGGCTAAAAACAGATTTTTTTTTTGAGGGAGAGAAAGACAGCAAGATGAACAACAAATGGCTCTATCACTTTTTTTTTTTAACAAACTGAAGGTTTCAAATGTTTGTAACTTTGAAATGTATTAATTCCCAGAAAATTAACCATAACCATTCTTCTAAAAATATTTTTGCTAATATTACAAAATTATTTTTAATTAGAAGATTATCAAAATAATCAGTTAAAAAAAAAGGTAATTATTTCTCATCAGAACAGTTTATAACTTGTAGGGAGAGAATGTATTGTACAGTGATTTTACTGTGAGCCAGGTTTCACTTGTTAGAGCATTTCTTAAAGAATCAACTCTAGGTTATTGAATCAGGGCTCTGACTACTATTCTGCTATTGCAACATTTAATGCAAATTTAATAAAGAGAAGTTATTTTGAAACATCTTGCTATAACTGAGAGAAAGAAGAACTATAATGTACTTTTTTTTATGAAGATTAAAAAAAAAAAATATAAAAAAATAATTATTAAAATAAAATTTTAGCAATATAGTTGCTAGTTTGCATATTTAAAAAAAGTCCAGACAAAAAATATTTTTAAATAAATTTGTCTGTTTTCTACTTGTTAATAGTTCAGTTTTTTTTTTTTTTTAAAGTATGTATTTATTAATTGATATCACATATGTATTAAAAAAAAATACTTGAATGCATATTACAATAATAATCAATAACTGTATACAATAAAAATAATGGTTAACTTTACTTAAATTATAATTATCCATTTTTATGCTTGAGTAAAATATAATTGTAGAGAGAAAAAAAAAAAAAGAAAAAAAAAAAGCAGATACAGAACAAATGCTAAAGCAAATTTCTTTCTAGATTAGGAAATAAAATCGTATACCCATTTAGAAACACAAGCCTTAAGGGAAGGTTAACATATGCAAAACAAAGTTTGAAGCCAAGAGGGGGTTTAGCTAAGTAGTTAGTTGGTCTGATATTTTTTTGGTGGGGAGCAAATAATCCTAAGAGGATTTATTTACAGCCTATAGATTCTGGCAGCAATCATAAATTTGCCTTTGTTCTCAACAATCTCTCTTTTGCTGACAAACATTAATGAAGTAAAAATATCAAGGAATTAATAACTGTATGGTTATAATGTGTAATTATATATATATATATATATATATATATATATATATATATATATATATATATATATATATATATATATATATATATATAGTGTGTATGTATGTAATTTCCTTTAATAGCAACTTAATTAAAAACGGCTCTTTTTATCCTCCTTATACAGAGTAAGTAACTATAAATACTGAGCTAATAAATTGCTTTAAGACTTAAATCCAAACAAAGAAAAAATATAATTTAGTCTGGTTTAATTTTAACACAACTGAATACCACGTTCAAAACTGACAATTTGAATATGAGGCAAAAAATTCTATTTGTAATAAAACAATGTCAACAGTTATTGAATATTACAAACCTTTATCTTATTTTTAAGGCAAATGTTTCACTAGAAAAAAAAAAAAATGAAAAACCTGAAAACAAAAAAATAAAAAGCAGCAAGAATCTTGGGATACAGAATTTCAAGTAACACTAAAATTGCATTTATTAACCCCCCCCCCCAAAAAAAAACAATTTTCGATTTTCTTCTTTTAAATAAATGTCTTGTTTTTATAGCATTACTTAAAAAAATAACATTTCTCTATGAGCTGTCATCACTTTACAGAAATTATAACTATATTTTCAACACTTTAATTCAAACATTACTAAGTGTTATCTTGTTTACACTTAAACTTAGTTAATTTTGAGTTTTGTACTCAAAATTGTTGCTTCATTTTTCATATCACTTTTTTTCTCAGCTGTTTGTTACCGATACACAAATCAGATTCTTGTTCAATGTTCATTTAACAGGTCTCTATATATATTCAGATAACTAAAACAATTGGAATCAAATTCTAATATTTTGATGAGACAAAAGAAAAAAAAACGTCACCTAAAATAAAATCTCAATTCCCTTTCACTACCCAGTTGTAAAATAACTCCAGTTTTAAGTCTTTTGGATATATACCTATATTGAAAGCCAACGAACATAGAAATTTTGAATAGGACAATGCCTTGAATGAAACTAATCTTGAATGAGGCACAGAAAAGAGAAGAAATGACTGTTGATAATGTGACTTTGTTGTAAACCTTTAATATTACTTTATTATTTCTTTCTATAGAGTGGAATTATCCAGCAACCAACTTCACAACTAATAGCCATTCTTAAATCAAATACTTATGAAGACTTTCCTAGCATAAAGGAAAGGGTTGTTTTTATCTGTTGGTTGCAAATCGCAAAAATAATAAAAAAATAAAACCCAACAACAGAAGGCTGAATATTATTTCAAGTCTTCTGCTCAAAAAATGTTTATACAATGAAATTGAAATGCAACAAATAACTTTCAAAGTATTCATCTACAATGAGCAAGAAAAATGATTTTCTTTTTAAAGTCAATAAATCATGTACCCATCAAGATGTAAACAATTTTTGCATAAAAATATTTACATTTTTACTTATTGTTAAAAGATGGAAAAAGTACTTTTTTAACCAATGAAAAACAATGTTTTATCATACCACCAGAAAAAAAAATTATGAAACCATATCATGCCAAGTTGAAATGCACATTTTTTTTAAGTCTTGACCTTTTTATTATGGCCTTTATATAAACAACACATACATTCAGTTATCAAATAAGCAAAATTACGATTGGCAGCACATGTAATAATACACTTTTTTCTTAATTTTTTCTAATAAAAAAAAAAAAAGAATCAACATATATAGCACTGATTTGTAGAAAACCTTTCATACAAACTTAATTTGACATGTTTATTTTAATTTGTTTTGAGAAAGACTTGTTGAATATAATTATTTCAGAAAACAATGAGTGAATTCAAAACAAAAAAGTTATTCAGGTAATAATTGAAGAAATGAGGCATTTTGATTTATTCTTGTTTACACAATAAGAAAAAATTTTTTTAATTTTTAACAGTTCTCAAAACAATGCAATTTTGATTACTTTCTATTATAGTAAATATTTGAAAAGTGGTTTTGTTTAAAAAAGAGTATTCAATGTGTAGACAAAAAGTATTTTAATATATTTTTCTGTCATAATGAAATTTAATACAACTTTTCATCAAATTAGAGAGAATTCAGCCAAGTACAGTCATATCTTCAAACTTCAAGCACATTCATGATTACATTAAAAAAAATTTCAATAAATTGAATGTATTATGAGCTTTGATTCTATTTGAACAATTTCTTTATAAGATAAAACACAAGTCTATGACTTTTATTAAAATCAAAAATTATATTGAGATAAAAAACAAAAGTACAATGATCTAGCTAGATATAAGTCCAACTAGTAGCTAATTTATGTAGCATTTAATTTTTTTAGTTTCCATGTAAAACTGAAATTGAAACAGACACATTTTATTTTTGTATATAACTTCATATCATTTACACCATCCAAAACAACTATGAATTAAAACATATTGCACAAATAAGTTTTCACTTTCATCAAATAGTAATTTTTGTAAATCTTTAAATAGGGAACAGAAAAACAAATGCAATTAGTGACTCTTGATTGTGCTAGATCAGTGTTATACGAACAGGAAAATATATGTACAGCTCTTTATTTTTTTATATCTTTCCTACCACTACCCACAAATCATTTTTTTGTTAAAACTTACCCTGGTTATCTGTAAGGATGGGAGATTCATTTGCCTCACTTGTTGGAGGACTAGATTCAAACTCATAGATCCTGTCGGTAGCTGCACTGCTGCTTCTTCTGTGATGAGGCTGTACTTTGGAATTGTTCTTGGTATCATTGATATTGGTAGCTGACATGACGGTACCACTGTTGGTCGTCGTCATTACAGTATTATGTCCACTGCTAACAGAACTGGCATTTCCAGAAGCAACCATAAAATTAGTGTTATTGGTAATGTTGTTATTACCACTATTATTACTATTAGTATTGCTCATGCCACTACCTGTCATATTAGTAGCATTACTGTGGCTATGGCTACTGCCTCCATAATTTGCTGTAGAAATGGATGAAATGGTATTGCCACCAAAGCCTCCACCAGCTGTCATGGAAACAGATGGAGATGAAGATGATGAGGAGGTTGCAGACAGATTGTGCATTCGGGATGCCAATACATCATTCCTCATACCAGGCATATGATGGAAAGAAACAGCGGATGATGGTGAATTAGTAGCAGTGGCACCACCACTGCCACCAGACGACATCATCATCATATTGGCACTGGCTAATCCTTTATTGGTATTGTTAGTAAGTCCCAAGTTAGCCACCCCACTGGTCAGTAGGGTGCTAGCAGAAGGAGTCATTCCGCTGTTAGCTGAAGGTAGGCGCCGACAGTTGGCATTAGATGCAGCAGTTCCACTACTAGCGTCCATACGTAGTAGGCCAGCAGGACCAACTGGTGATGGAGATGCGTTGGTAGCCACTGTGGTGGAAAGGTGATGAGGATGGTGGTGGTGATGGGGATGGTGGAGGTGATGATGAAGCGGGTGATGATGAAAGATCGAACCGCCAGTGCAGTTGTTGTTGGTATTGTTTGTCGGCACGGAAGAGGCTGAAGACGATGACGACGACATCAGGGGCCGGCCAAAATTGGAAGATGCAGACGAAGAGAAAACAGCTGGAGTAGCAGAAGGTTGAGTTGATGTCGATGACAACGAGTAAGGAGACGACAGAGATGCTGATGTGCGAGATGAAGATGAAAATGTAGATGAAGGAGGCGGAGGAGGAGCAGAAGCAGGAGAGGAGGAGGCTGCTACCATGGCAGCAGCAGCAGCGGGAGGACAGGAAGAGGAGGAGGAGGGAGAAGAAGTGGTAGGTGATTGTGAGATGGCGGAGGCAGCTGGGGATGTAACTGGTCCTGGTCCAGGGAAATGCAACGATTTGTTCAGATAGAACTGGGATCCCTTATGCTTGTAGCGCTTTTTTCTTTCCTCGTGGAAGTCAAAGACCCCAGGGTTTGCTCGTTTGTTCCAAGATCCGCGACCTGACATTACTTTTTAGGGGTGGCTAGGTAGGAGGCAGCTTTTTTTTTTTTTTTTGTCTCTCTGTGATTTTTTTTTTATAATATATCGAACCAGAGGGAAATCAGTTTAATAACTTGTTATTTGCAACAACAATACTTTTTTTTTTTTCTAACGGTTGAAGAGAAACTTTTTGTCTTGCTTGTTCAACAGTTAAGTTTTTTCCCTGTTATGGATGGACCGTGGACGTATGGGATGAAAATATGGAATGGATGGATTTATGAAAAGAAAAAAAGATGAGGCACTAAGAAATAAAGGGATCGACACAAGATTATTTGATTAAACAAAAAATAAATTTATGTTTATAATATATTTGTGAAACCACTTGTGTTTGTCTTCGGATGTTTAACAACGAGTAGAAAATATATATATATATAGACGTTTGTTTATATGTCGGTGTACACGCTACACAAGAGAGTGGAGATAAATAAATGAAACAAAATTAAAAATTTGAGTGCATATATTTCTTTTTTTAAATTGGCACCTTAATAAAAATTGTTTGGAAATTAGATAAATAAAAATGTATAGAAATATATATATAGGTACGAACACAAAAGTTATTTTTGATTATCGCTGACAATAATTATGTTCCTTTTCAAAAAAAAATCGTTCTTGGCCGATTTAGGTAAAGTTAAAAAAAAATAATAACAATTATGTACGGGGAGATTTTTTTTTTTTAAGAAACTATAGAGGAAAGGAATGAAGATTAATTTTTTTTTTAATTTTTTTCTGACAGGATGTTAAAGTTTGCGAGGAAATTACAAATAAAAAAGAGATTTATAATTTAAAAAAAGAAAAGAAAGCAACAACCGTAGCAGGACGAAAAGAAGGAAGGAAAGAATAAAGAACTGTATTGAATAAAAGAAGTTCAAAAAGGGGAGATCGCTAAACTTCGGGCAAATAAAAGAAATTTAAGTTTCTAAATAAGAAATGTAAATATTTCTAGTGTAAATCTACAAAACGAAAATCATCATCGGTTTTTCTTTTGGAAATTACTTTTCAAACATTCAATTCGTCCTCCGCAGAAATTTGTTTTATAAATTCGCTAACAAACAATAGTGAGTTTTAAAAAGAGAAGACAAACTATATACGCAGAGGTAGGGGTGAAACAGTTTCTTTTCTTTGCAACTAGTAATAACACTACCCGTCAGCGAAATATATAAAACATAAGCATAAACATTTAAAAACGTGTCTATATTCTATTATCTATATTTAAAAAAAATACAACATCAGCCGTATACAGCCACACACACATAAAGAAAATGCATGCAGGCGCCTATATGTATGTAAACTATGTATTAACGTTACTGTAAAGTACGAATGTATATATGTAAATTAAGCTTACGTATCTCTGTATGTGTCTGTGTGTATATACATGTATGTGCACGTCAAGGTAAAAAGACGTAAGTAATAAACAACAATAAAAAAAAAAAACAACACTCAAAATGGCGACCAACCACCGTAGACGACAAAAAGGTTCGTGTTTGTTTGGTGGTTGGTGTTTTAAAGTACGTCACATGTAGAGCATCTGCTGCCCGAATGCAACCGTTGTCACATCGCCTTGCAGGTGGGACACGATCGCGAGCAAGACGACCTTATTTTTTTTTCCACCGTCGTTTTTGTCGATTTTTTCTGCCATAAATCTCCGGCAGCCCGGCGAGCGGCGCGGTCGACACAACAATGGCGGACGGACCGTTTCCCGCTGACTGGAAGGCCCGAGCCTCGTTACCGATTTTACTTCCGGCCTCACGACCTACACTTCCGCTGTGTTCATGCAGACGACCCAGGGTGTAAAGAAGGAGGCATTGTTTGCTCTCTCGATATGGTATTTCGAATAAGCGGACAAACAGATTTTCATGAAATTATGACAAATAGAAAAAGAAAAGATGAGAAAAGCTTTTGATAGCTGAATGTAATATAATTGAAAAATTAGTTTTGAAACCTCTTTCGCATAAACTCAGAAACTTAACTTCAAAATTTATTTTTGACATAATCATACATAGTATAAACCACATAATTTAGTCTTCTGTCTTTGGACAAAGTAAGTTAAAAAATATATTTGATACCTAATGGATGAGATCTATCTTCAGACAGCATCTCTCCATTGCACTAAGAGAGTAGAGGTATGCCCTGATGTCTGACAATGACCAAAAAAAGTGGCCTATTATTATTGTATATATATCACATTTTGCCATAGTGGAGTGTAGGGCCCGATTGGGAACAATTGTAGAAGGCCCTACTTTCAAACCAAATTCTGTAGAACGATAGAAAATTATATTATGATTTGTTAGAAACAAAAAGGACTTAATTGGAAGCAAATGGTTCATTTAAGGCTTGTTCTGGTGGGATGGCAAATAAATACCTTATTTTGTGAATATACTTCTCTTGGTAATAGCTCTGTCAGTATCATGGATATATATACACACACAAAGAAAGTTATTCTTGAAATACTTGGAAAATTCAGATATTTTCAATGTTCATATTTCTGAGGTTTGCATTTTCTTCTGAGAAAAGCATAAAACTTTGACTTGACCAAAAATATACTTAACACACACATGCACAAACGCATTTACAAAAATTCTTTTATATGTATAAAAGAAAATTTGTAAATATAAACATTTGTGATAACACATTTCTTTAAATATACTTTTGAGGAGTATTTTGATCTTTATAGAATCATAATATAATTTTACAAAAATTAAATAAACTAAAATTTAATATTTTTCCTACTTATACATACAATTTTTCTGTGTGTATAGAGAAATGTTTAACACATTATGCTAAAGATCTGTATTCAGAAAGTTAAAATTAGAGAAAATATGTGTTATCTGGCAGGATTTGAACCTGCATTCCTATAGGAGAAACTGTCATTAGATTTGCTGTGCTTTGGACCTTTCAGCCATGGAGTGCATTGATGACCAATCAAAATTTGAATAGTGCCTTTAAACATGGTTTTTTCTCTGATTCTCAAAATAGGCATATCTGCTGAGTTTCGTCTATAAAGAAAGGGATTTATTTTTTATTTAATATTACTTAATAAAAATCTATTGGATTAATAAACATAAATATATGCCTTTCTTTAGAAAATGCATGCACACGCACACACAGATACATATATATTTTAAAGAAGTGATGAATTTTTATTTATTAATTGACAGATTTTATTACTTAAATGTTTTTTTTTTAAAGTGGATGCCCATATTGGAGTAGCCACTCCATTTATTTATTAAACAGTATATTTATTTATTTTCATCTACCAGCCTGAATATTTGAAAAATTTTATTAAAGAAAAATATGCACTCTTTAGCAGGATTCAAACCTGTGTCCCACTAGACAGGAGAAACCGTCATTAGATCTGACATGCATTAGACTGTCTTGACCCCCTTTTTTGACCCACATCACCAGGCTTCTAAGGGGATGGAAACGAACAACGGAATGGTGAATAGTACAAGGCAAATTGATGATCGAATCCAGTGAGGTCAGGGAAGATTTTAAGCACCTCTTGTCACAAGTATACAAGGAATGATAAAATGCAAACCAGTTGAAAGCTCTCTCACACACACACACACACACACACACACACACACACACACGCACACATATATAATACATAAAAGTTGAT